GTCTCCTTCAGCGACTGCAGTGACTTCTCAGAATGAAGACGTACAATATTTATCAACATAAGGGCTGGCTCATAGAATACCCAAGTTGAGAGGATTGTTTATCAATTCGTATATTATTGTCTTATGCTGTTTAATCTGAATTAGATGCGAAAATGATCGTGAATAGACAAGGATTCGGAAGAAGATGCTGGTGGGCTGTTCAGAGGTAGGCCTGATTTTCCGAAATTCGCATGGATAAACCGAATAAAAACATGAACACCTCTGTATTACATGAAGCCGGTCGATATTTGAACAGGGAACCTCTCGAATAAAAGTTTATACAAACTTCATTTAGTTTCAGATCGTGTTTTTATGCACGGGAATGACCGATAGCGAAACATTCAAATTAAGGAGAATACTGATTTAGTTATAGGGCGTGTTATTCACCGACACTTACGAAATCTAACGGTTTACATCGCTTTGACTTTAAGATATGAAGATGACCATGATTGATTTGTAGGTAAGATTTGGAAGGTGGTAGTACTGATGATATGTGAAGGCAAGACCGATACTAGGTTGTAGAGCCACAAGAAGAAGAAGAAGAAGAATCAATATGACAGGGGATAACAAGTTACGTGCATGAACGATGAAGCCTTATATAAGATTCGTTATCCTTCTGGGCGCAGCCGCTGGATTAGAAAGTACAGTAGGACCCGGTTATCCGCGGAGTGGATTATCCGTGATCATTGCAATGTGAATACGTACGTTTGTGTACAAATGTGACACCCATCGCCCTAATGATGGGAGAACTTAAATCCTACTTAATTGCTCTCTGGCAACTTCAAATGAATACTAGAGACTACAGTCACAATCTACAATCCACAGCTAAAGAACGAAATGAGGGGACTTATTGCGTGTACCTCGAATTTATAAAATAAAACACACGACTGAAAAATTGTGAGAGGTACCTACTGGGTCCCTTAGAGTAGGTACCTCTCACCTGAAGACGGAGACAGAACCAGCCTCCGAAACGTCGTGATTTAAAAAAAACACGATGGAAAAAGTCCTGGCAACGAATTTTAAGTGTAAACTACCGTCGTCAAAACCCTTTAGAATTGAAGGAGACTGGATAATGTTGGCCCAGGACAGGGTCCGGTGGAGGGCTTTGGTTAATTCGGTGATGAACCTTCGGGTTCGGTAAACCATCTAGTTAGTTAGTTAGCTCTGCATTTAATTACAAATGTCGAATTCGTGAGCAACCATACCTGAAATAAGTCACTGAAGCACGTGAAAGTGGTAGTAGAGCCAGTTTCTGAAATGCAGTGCAAGTTTAATCAGGACGAACGCAATTGCAGCGCACGGCAGAGCCATGACGAGCGTGCCTATAGCTTGGGATGATTGCGTGGGTTGGAAATAAACCGCACGGTGAGTGAGTGAGTCACGCAGTCCAATCCTGTCACCTACCTACATAGGAAGCCCTAATGCTTACACTGCATGGAAATCAATACTTTACATCCAACGTTCAAGGCACATTTCCTTGTATAATATCAGAACGAAACGTAGCAACTTGCAGACATTACATGGGATATTGTGATCGATATTCATAATTCAATTTTATATTTTAAAGAGGTAACTTTATAAGTATGGTAATTGATGTTCAGGCCAGCTTAGACATGATCTTTCCCCTCTTCCTATGTACAAAAGTCAAAGCTCTTCAAATGTTAAATTTATTTGCGTTAATCAGTTGTAGACTGTGCACCCACTGTTCAGACTAACAGTTACTAAACTGATTTAAGTGCATCGAAACAGCAGCTAAGTTTTACTCTGTAATGTTTTCTCCGACTGCGGTCTTGATGTTAATTTTGCTAATGTAAATCTTGTAGCGGGACAATGACAACACCTTTATCCATCGTGTCATTAAATATGTTGTTGTTGGAAGATTCGCCTTGATTCTTAACAGACGTAAAGCTTATTATCTTTGCCACCGAGTACAGACCGGTCCTCGGACCCACATTTTTACTCAGAACAAGCCAATGAATAACCACCCGAAGTCTGGCAGAAGATTCATGAGACACTTACTGAGTCATTATGTAATTGTATTTTCAATAAGTACAAGGAATTATCTAAATGAATTTCTATTTGAAAGCGTAATTATGCATATTTTCAATAACATAAACGAACATGTTTTTTCGAAAAATATCCCAACAGAAGTTTTGGAGCATTTAATAGGTTCTGTATTTTTTTAAGTGTATACGCAAGTGTTTTATCCAGTGAACTGATTAAGGCAAAATAAGTAAGTTCGATTTGTCCTTCGTGCAAAGAAAATTTGTGTAACATATATGAACCAAAATTAAATTCCATCAACAATTTTTAGTATAATCCAAATACGAAAATTCATCGAAGTATAACCAGTTCATGAGATTAACAAGCAGACTGCGGAACACCGGGGGGGGGGGGGGGGGGGAGAAACCTTAGATAGCACAGTAGGACAAAAATACAGGTGAATAGGAAGTTGAGACAGTGTAAGTGATAGAAGATTACTACAAATGGCAAATAAAATTGTGTTGGTATAGAAAGGCTAAGCTGATATGCGGGATAAAAGAGCATTAATGTTGTACCACTGTTTAAAAAAGTGGAAGAGGGAGTATACAGAATAATTCAAAGCTCGAATACAATACTGAGGGAGGTTGGGGAGATAATTTAAAGCAGAAAATGCACCCCCCCCCCCGATTTGCCACCTCCGATTGACAAAGTTTTTACGTTGATGTCATTTTGTTGCTCAGATTATATAGCATCAAATGACAGGATGAGTAGTGAATAATGAACTGAGAAGTAAATGGGAGAAAGTAGTTGTGGCTTAATTTTAAGGTTCTATCCTGACATTTGCCTGGAAGGGCTAAGGAAAACTACAAAAATCTCAATCTGAGCCCCTCCACCCCCAACCACTACAATTAAATAAATCTGTTTAAGTTTTGGGAATGAACTGAATGAGACATATATGACCTTCCAATTATGCATTCATTTTATGTAAGTAATGATCTCCCTAAGTTGTAACTAACTAGGAAACCCGAAGGTTCATCACCGAATTAACCAAAGCCCTCCACCGGACCCTGTCCTGGGCCAACAAAATCCAGTCGCCTTCAACTCCTATCTCCCATAGATCCCGCCTAAGATTGTCCTCCCATCTATCCCTGGCAGTTTCTTTCCCTCAGGCTTCCCAACCAATACCCGGTGCACACCTCTTGTCACATCCATGCGCGCTACATCCCCCGCCCATCTCATTCTTCTCGACTTCACCCTGACAATACTGGGGGAGGAGTACAGATTTTTAAGCTCATCATTATGCAGTTTCTCCAGACCCCATCGGTTTCTCTCTCTCTCTCTCTCTTTTCTTTATAGTGTTCTGCCTGACGACAGGTCCATATGAACAGCCAGCGTTCTAACCGCTAGACCACCTAGGCCCAAATATCTCCTCAACGCCCTATTCTCAAACACCTGCGATCTATGTTCCTTCCTAGACTATTCCAGTTGAAAAGCATAAAAAAATATGCTGCTGACGCTTCACATTTTAGAAACAAATATTGGGAATGTTTCAGGTGGATGAGTACCAAGATGGCATCAGCGTTGCAGTGGAAGCTGAACCGGCTGTTCTCATTTCCTCGTCTAATTGTCCTGGTGGTGGTGGTAGTTGTTCTGTTTCTCTTGTTAAAACCATCTGAAGTAGATTACGGCTTCCTGCCCTACAGGCAGGAACTGTTTGACATAGTTGCCAACAGTGCCTTCGATGGCTTTAACAACGAAACCGGTTCTAAGAATGGAGAATACATTGTCCCAAACATCATCCACTTGTTATTTTTTGATATCAGTGAATTATCTTTTGTGGATGCAGTTTGTGTGTTGGCGGCATTTAAGAATCAGCGCCCAGAAATTATATATTTTCACACTAATGTCGAAGAATTTAAAGGGCAGTACTGGGAGAAACTGAAGAGTACACCAGGTCTGCACATAAAAATCCAGAAAGTGACACTGCCAGATAAAATATTTGGCCAAAATTTCGGTTCAAAAAACCACCGGTGGCACGCGGGGGATGTAGTACGAATAAAGATTCTGATGGAATATGGAGGAATATTTTTAGATAATGATTCTTATTTAGTGAAAAGTTTAGATGAATTTCGTAAATTTGAAATGACTCTAGGTTGGCCTGAAGGACAGTATTTAGGCACTCAAGTGTTGGTGGCCAATAAAGATGCCAGGTTTCTGCGTCTTTGGCTTGAAACTTACAGACAGTATTACCCCAACCGATGGTACTTCAATGCGGGAGAAAAACCCACAAGGGAAGTGCTATGGTTCAAACCTGAATTGGTGCATCGAGTGAAGACACTATTTGGCGTGCAAGACCTTAGCGAAGAACTGTACAGGACTGACGATTGGAGTGAATGGCGTAAATTTTATGCGATACATCTCCTTATCAGACATCGATGGTACCTGGACAGTTTGTGGAATATGCTGTGGTGGCCAAGTCTACATGAAAATAACATTGGTAACTACCCCAAAACGTTTGGTGAAATGGCAAGGGAGGTATACTTCTAATGAACAAGGAGATGAGTACCCAGTCCCATTAATTCTGAACTTGTACTTTTATTTATCAAGTATGACGTAGGCCTGTAATGTTATAATGACCAAATGTGGTGTTAAACCGTGAGTGATAGTTTTTAGAAGATGCAGAAATGCCTACAATTAGTCGCCATGCTTATAGAAGACGTCTAGTCATACATCTAGTTTCAATGTATAAATATAGTGCAAATGTTATTGTCCTTATAACGTAAATTTGCCTAATAGATTCACTCAGCATTTTTGAATGAAGATTCTTCAGATTATCTGTATTTTAAATATCTTGTCTACTCACCTTTTCCCCTCCAGTAAGACGCAGTCCAAAACAGCACTCAGGCGAATTATGTACAGGCCGACTAATCCAGCGTTTTCGTATTATATCTCGATTGTAACGGAGACTGCATTACACGATGCTTTAGCAAGGATATAATTTGTCAAAGTCACCCATTTTGTGGAGTACCGGAAACAATCTGTAATACAGCAAAGAAACAAAAGTTTCTCAATTATACTGCATGGCTTTGAAATAAAAGCGGAAGAACTGATAGCCCAAAGTTGTTATCCTGATGGATGATGTATTTTTTCCCCAGCAGTCATGGAAAGGCCAATTATTATTTTGCATCTGAAATCACATATAAATCATCGTAGTAGCTTCTTGTGAGTTATTTCCACAGAGTATATAAAATTAATACATAACAGGGAGATCATGTCTGCATGTTTGAACTCTGATGAAATTTGGTATTGGAGATGTATACCAAAATCTGAAAGAAAAATGTAATTTTTTATCATACATATTTACCACTTTTATTTTCTTTGAAACTTCAGCTATTCTGTCTGTTTTTGAAGCTTGTTTATTATTGAAGATATGAGAAAATGGTGCCAGAGGTTATAAACGAATTGGTTATTCCATGCATGTCGTAATAGAGGCAGAAAAAATGTGTTTATGAAAATTTAATTAGTACCACTCAATATTAGACGCTGTAGCAAAGGTGTTGCTATAACCAAAATCGACTAATTAAGATTTCTCAAAAAGGTACATCACACGAAAAATCTATGTCAGATTTAAATTTGCAACTTATATTTGAAACATAACATATTTTATATGCTGAATATTACATTAAAAAGAAAAATAACCATTGACTGTGCAAAGTGATCTGTAATAAAATTAGCCTTTTCATCAGTGGATAAGTGTTGCATCATTAAAAGAAAAGCCTGTTTGTGATTTATTCTAAACGTTATATCAATAAAAAAATTTATACCAAACAAATGATGATGCTGACCATATCAGTAAAGAAATTATTAAAAGCCTTCACAGACTGGTTAAACTTTCTTCAAACGTAAACCATACGGAACTTCAAAAGAGCAAAACAAGACTTTACAGTGTAAGTTTAAGTAGTGTATTCCCTATGTTATGATACTATTAAAAATACTTGGAATTAACTGGTTAGAGATCTCTCAAAAGTGGTTTTACTAAACTGGTCTATGTGGGTACCTAAGTGACTCATCTGGAAAGAAAAATCTAGCAAATCTTTAAACTAATTCACACTCAGTATTAATATGCAAATATTATCAATATTCACAGAATGTAAACAATACAATATAACAAGAGACTGTTCATTCATTCTTATCCTACTGTACGCGTGTACATGATGGAGCAAAATAGACATAATCCCAAAGTTGGAGAAAGTGTTTCTCTGCAATGTTGGTATCCACCTACAAATCCACACAGCATATCGACCCAGAACAACAGTCAGAATCTTACATATTAATGCTCACCAAACATAACCTAAAGTGGTTTAATTACGCAACTTTTTAAAAATTAATTATAAAACTTCCACTTACATGAGGGAATGTTAGCTTTTGACAAGGTGGTTGTAGACCCCAATAGGTGCTTCCATTTGGTCAGAATAACATTTACCTTACAGAATCCAGTATGGAGAAGAATGCCAGCCAGTAACACATCCACAACTGCAAAGAATCCATATGTTTTTTTCTCATTGCCGATATCTGCTTCCATTCCCACCACACACAGCCACACCGTTTGTGTATTCGCATTAGAAGCAGTACAATATGGCGTTTCTCAGAGTGTTGAACAGTGCTTTTAATATCAAATTTCTAGTGAAAGAGGAAGTGAAGCCGGATAAAATTCTTGGCAGTTGAAGTGCACAATATGGGGAAGAGACGTTACTACAAATTTTTCCGAAGACCGTGAACAGGTCGCTAACCGACCACATGGTCACGTGTAGCCGACAGTTGTCACAGATAACGTTCGTCGCGTTGTGATTTTGGAAATCAGATGAATTAAAGTGCGTGATGTTGCATGCATTGTGTGCATGTGTGTTGGGAGTACAAAGATAATTATCCGTAAACACGTAATTGTTCAATAAAACTCGTGGGTCCCAAGGATACTGACGTTTGAAGGCACAACTTATTTTGATGTCTGCCCACTATCTCATCCAGACTGAACTGGAAACTCATTCCTGAAGCGAAAAGTAACTTGACACATGGGTAAAATATTTCACTCCAGAATCAAAGAGGTCCGGTTTGGAAAGGCGTCACAACGGCTACAAAGTCAGCCTGTTGCCTTATCTGCTGCCAGCATCAGTGTCTTACCACCACGACGATGGCAAAAACGTGTAGAGGGGCATTATCATGAAAAGGAGTAATAGTTTGGTGATTTCGACATGTTTCTTCGTGTAAATAAAAAGTCCAGGTCTACCTTGAACCACCCTCGTAACAATGTTTAGCCACCCTGGTCAAGGCTTCCCTAGACTTGGCTAGGGCCACACATCTGGTTGCCGTTAGCCCCTGGTAATATTTGGCTCCTCCTGATGTCAAGTTTCCTCTTGGCACTTCCAGTCACTTGGTCTTTGTCGGATTAACCCTGCCTTTGGAACAGCTGTCTTCTCAGCGTCCCTGGCTTGGCTGATACTATCAGCTCCCTGAGGTACTTTGCTAGAACTGCTGGTCTGTGCTGAGAGGAATAAACTTTCAAATGGAAGCTCTGTGAAAGAGAGCTCTTTTATTAATCTGGGTCTTTAGAGTCCCTGAGTCCTCAGAGAGGATTAATTCGTTTTGGGTTCTGCCCTCAGACCTGGGCCTTATAGGTACCCTTGGTTAGGGCTTCCCAGAACTTGGGTAGTGCCATGTACTCTGGTTGCCATAGCCCATGGTACTATCTTGTCTCTCCCTGGTTTTTTAAGCGTCCTCTTCAGACAGGCCTATATCAGATGAAGCCTGTCTACCTTAAAGGCAGCATATTGTAGGTCTACAAATTGGCTGAAACTGCCAGCTCCCTGTGGTGGTCTGCCAGAACTGTTGGCTTCCAATCAGCAGGTTTACTGGAGCTGCTGGCTCCAAAGGAGGTGACATCTATAAAAAGCATAAAAGCAGGTTTCTCACAATTGATGAGTCCCTGTCCCCAGTTAACTTCTCAACCCCCTGGGTTTGTTGATACTCTTAACAGCCTGAGGTGGTATGCCAGAACTGTGGCTCCCTGTTGAGAGAAATAAACTTTCAAATGGAAGCTGTTTTTGAGAACTCCTTTGTACAGCGGCTGCCTACTTTGAAGGCCACGTGCAGTGGACACCTTCATCCATAGGTTTGCTGGAGCTTTTACCAGACTGTTATTCCATTCTGAATAGGGAAATTTTATAAAAGGTTAAGGTAACGTTATACAAGCATGGTGATATGGGTATGTGTTACCTATGGATGATGATGTGTTGCTTTGAGACCATAAAAATTCAGTCTGCCAATAAATTATCAATGGGGATTGCGGAAGAATGGAGGATTTATCATACAATGGCCCATTCTGTTGAAAATGTCAGTGAATGCTAATGGTAATTATGTTTTTCTAAATTAAAACAGAGCAACAGGAACTAAAACAGGAAGTTTCATTCACAGCTGCCTGAAAATATAATTAACCACTGAAGGCAACTTCACAGGTTAATATTAATTTCATAATCACATTTTAGACAATAGGTGATGTACAAAAGAGGATATCCTTCAGTTGCAGATTCAAATAGTCTTTAATCCAATCTTATCTATGGAACTGCTTTCTAGAAGTTTCTAAAAGCAAACTGAAACAGTTTTCTGTTTCTGGTAATCAACAAGATGCCTGTAACTTATTGCTCTTTTAATTTTAAGAAAATAAGTATATGTTTGATAGAAATGCAAAATACAAAACCAAAAAGCAAATTTTAGGGCCCTTTTGGTACTGCTGCAAGAAAGAAAATATTGGCTGAAATTATTGGAGATTTAATGGTTTAGTCATTAGGGAAATATAGTTGTTATGGGATTGAGGGGATCTGTTGAAAATGCCATCCTTCAAACAGATGAGCATAAAGGGCAGTAAAATAACATAACAGTCACTTCAAATGTGGGGTTCCGTAACAGTCGTAATAATTTCCAGCAGATGAATAATACTCAAACAGGAATCATGCATCATTATTTTCACATTCTGTTTTAACACAATCAAATGAACACAATTTATAAGATTCAAAACAGTTAATTTTCTGATATAAACTTATGAAATAAAACTACTGTTCACAGATTGGGAGTTGGCGAGGTCCCTGTGGTGAGGGAACAGGTGGCCTTAAACATTCTACTACAACTTCAGTGTAACATCAGATTACACTTGAGCTGTACAGCACAGATGCTCATTTTGCCATACTAATGCTTACTTGCAGTTTTTTTAACGTATAGTATAGGTCGCGCGAGAAGTGCTGGCACTTGCGCAAAGAACTGATTTTGGTCGTATGAGATGGACCCGTCCGAAATACGCGCTAGAGGGGTGTCAGGTTCAGTTGGTTTGTAGCTCTAGCTGTGTTTAGTTCGGTACGTCACCGCAGCTGAGGCTGTGCGACCCCCACTACTACTGAACTCCCCTCTCTCGGCTTACACATCGCGCATTTAGGTGCCACGAGTACTCGCGCGACCTATAGTGGCAGGCAGATGAGTATAACTGCCTTACCATCTCTCAGTCTGTGAACACTGTTACTTCTAAATTACGGATGAATCACCTTCAGATTAGGAGAATATTAAGATTATTATTATCCATATATCACAAATCAAATTTCTCTATAAATGTTACTTTCTTAGGGCCTGTTTTAAATATTGTAATCATATACTGGCTATGAGAATAAAACAAGTCCATAATAAAATTAGGTACTTGTGGGTTATCGGGACACATCACTTTAAAAATAGGTTAGGTTAGTTGTCATTTATTGAAATAAAATAAGTTTCAAATATGTCATTTATCCACACACATCAACCTAACCTAACCTATTTTTAAAGTGATGTGTCCCGATAACCCACAAGTACCCAAAATTAGATTCCAAACATGTAGTCATGGAATCAGATTATCTCCATTTGAAGCTTAATTCTATATTCATCATAATAAACTAGGTACTATGACAAAGAATTTAACATTTTGATGTGTTCTTAATAGCAAACATGTTCTCAAGTGTAACAGGAACAATAATGATAAATATTGTTGTATTATTGCATATACTACTAATACTGGGTTGTATGCGAATTACTGAAGCCAATATTCAGTGCCATAGTAAAGTAAGGGTCAACCAGTGAACAATTTGTGCACTAAAGAACAAAATGATAACCTAATATTCTGGTCACAATAACTGGAAAACCTGTTGATTTCATCCTTCAACACTTGATAAGAATGAAACTTGTGTTCCTGACCTGCTTACAGTAGTTTCCCAGTATTATTTAGCAACTTTTCTCACACACGTGTTATTCATTTTTGTTGGAAATGTATTGGAAAGGTTGCCATTTATAATTAATTCAACCCACATTGATTATCTGACAGATGGTCTGTATCTGTTAGTAACTAGCAAATGAATCAAATTCTCACAAGATCTAGACCAGTGGTCCCCAACCTTTTGGTGCCTAAGGGCACATTTGAGAGTTTATGAGATCGTGGCAGGCACCAACCAATTAACAAAGCCAAATTTTCTTTTCTCTGGACAAATAAGATATGAACACCAAATAATACACAAAACAACACGACGTTTAATGATACAAGAAACCATGCAATCAAAAATACGTACTTTATAAGTATAATTATTATTACTCAAGTGGGAAGTTAGTGTGATGTTTGGCACTGCATTTCATCGGCCAGTTTTTCAAATTTGGGAGTGTAGGATGATGTTGCTGCTTGCAAACAATTGCCAAGATGGGCATCAGTAAGTCGAGATCTGTGCTTTGATTTTATAATGTTCACGGCCTTCATTATTCAGTATAACCTCTTTCCATAACAATGCAGGCACCCAAAAAAGCCTTGGTGGGCGCCTGCGGGCACCGCTTTGGGGACCACTGATCTAGAGACATAAAATTATATTCCACTAGCGATGTACTGATAGGCAACTCATCTGGAAGTCAAGGGTTTAGTTGTGTCAGTGTGTTATACTTCCATTTAGACC